CCACCCGCCTCAGCCTCCCAAAGTGCTGGGATTACAGGCATGAGCCAGAGTGCCCAGTCTGGAGCTGAACCTTTAACAAGGAATAGGGAGTTGGCCAGGGAAAGAGAATCAGGAAAGCAGGTGTGAAGGTCAGAAGAGCAATAGCATGGCATACTTAAGGAAGAGAAAGAGGCAGAGGGAGGATGAATCTCAAAGTGGAGGGAGCAAAGGAAAGGCAAAAATGGAGTTGAAAGGTAAATGGGGCTAGGTCATCCTGGCCTTGAAGGCCATGGGAAGGATTTGGAGTTTGTCCTCAGAGTCATGGGAGCCACTGAAGGATTTTATTCTTCTTCTCCTTAAAAAAAAAAAAAAAAAAAAAAAAGGCTGGGCGTGGTGGCTCTCGCCTGTAATCCCAGCACTCTGAGAGGCTGAGGCGGGCGGATCACGAGGTCAGGAGACCGAGACTATCCTGGCAAACACGATGAAACCCTATCTCTACTAAAAAAAAAAAATTAGCTGGGCGTGATGGGGGCGCCTGTAGTCCCAGCTACTTGGGAGGCTGAGGCAAGAGAATGGTGTGAACCCGGGAGGCGGAGCTTTCAGTGAGCAGAGATCGCGCCACTGCACTCCACCCTGGGCGACAGAATAAGACTCCCTCTCAAAAAAAAAAAAAAAAAAGGCCTTAAAGGTTTTTTAAATATGCCTAGCACAGTGGTGTGTGCCTGTAGTCCCAGTTACTCAGGAGGCTGAGGCGGGAGGATTGTGTGAGCCCAGAAGTTGGACGCTACAGTGAGCTATGATTGCACCTGTGAATGGTCACCGCACTACAGCCTGGGCAACATGGTGAGACCTCATCTCTAAACTAATTAGTTAATTAATATGTTGCTTTTTAGTTATATGTAAAAATATATGCAATTTAAACAAAAATCTAAGCGCATAAAGTAGAAAAGTCTTCCCAAAATCCCCCTTCTCAGATGCCACCCCTTTAACAGTCTGATCTTTAGGTTTGGGGGATTTTGTTGGCTTTCATTTTTAATGTATACAGAAGCATATATGACAAAAATGAGATCATTCCACACATCCTGTTTTATAACCTGTTTTTTCCCACTCAACAGTATCTTGTGAAAGTTTTTCATGTCAATGAATACAGATCCATCTCAATCTTTTTAATGACTGGTCAACTGGGTCAACAATGTCCATGGCTGTGAAGCAGTCAGGTGACAAGTTGATATGGCAATCAGGAAGTGTTTTATTTTATTTATTTATTTTTGAGATGGCATCTCTCTCTGTCACCAAGCTGGAGTGTCGTGGAGCAATCTCGGCTCACTGCAACTTCCGTCTCCTGGGTTCAAGTGATTCCCCTGCCTCAGCCTCCCGAGTAGCTGGGACTACAGGCGTGCACCACCATGGCTGGCTAATTTTTTTGTTTGTTTGTTTGTTTGTTTTTGTTTTTGTTTTGAGATGGAGTCTCGCTCTGTCGCCCAGGCTGGAGTGCAGTGGTGTGATCTTGGCTCACTGCAAGCTCTGCCTCCAGGGTTCACACCATTTTCCTGCCTCAGCCTCCTGAGTAGCTGGGACTACAGGCGCCCGCCACCACGCCTGGCTAATTTTTTGTATTTAGTTGAGACGGGGTTTCACCATGTTAGCCAGGATGGTCTCGATCTCCTGACCTTGTGATCCGCCCGCCTTGGCCTCCCAAAGTGCTGGAATTACAAGTGAGAGCCCCTGCGCCCGGCCTAATTATTTCTATTTTTAGTAGAGACGGGGTTTCACTGTGTTAGCCAGGATGGTCTCGATCTCCTGACCTCATGATCCACCCACCTCGGCCTCCCAAAGTGCTGGGATTATAGGCATGAGCCACTGCACCCGGCCAGGAAGTGTTTTATTACACTAGCAAAATTGAGCCAGCTATGAGCTCTATGGTTTCAGGGAAGTGAAAGGGGAGAAGCCAAGCTGCCAAGAAACTAGGAAAATATGAGGGAGAAGAAAAAGAGACAGATCTAGCAGACCAGTCTTTCAAAAAGCTTGACTGAAATTTTAATACACACACAGTCACAGAATATCTGGGACAAGAGTGAAACATCATATGCCAAAAGATTAATAGTAGTTGCCTCTTGGCTGGGTGCAGTGGCTCACACCTGTAATCTCAACACTTTCGGAGACTAAGGTGTTCGGATCACTTGAGGTCAGGGATTCGAGACCAGCCTGGCCAACATGGTGAAATGCAGTCTGTACTAAAAATACCCAAAAATTAGCCAGGTGTGGTGATATACACCTGTAATCCCAGCTACTTGGGAGGCTGAGACAGGAGAATCTCTTGAACTCAGGAGGCAGAGGTTGCTGTGAGGTGAGATCATGCCACCGCACTCCAGCCTGGGTGACAAGAGTGAGACTCCATCTCAAAAAATAAAAATAAAAATAAACAAATAAGTAGTTGTCTCTTGATAGTGGGATAAGTTATTTGTTTTCTTTATTTTCTAAAATTTCTACAATGGTCATATATCCATCTTTTGTAGCAAGACAAAGTCATAGGTTTAAAATGGCAGCAGTGAGAGGAGGACACAGAGTTAGAAAGGCTTCTCCCAGAATAGAAGACTTGAGCATATTTATAAGGTGGGAGAGAGTTATTAAGGGAAATACCAGACAGTCTAAAAATACAATGAAGGGGAAAATAACTGATGGACAATGGTACAAAAGAGACAGGATGGGTCGGCATCCATAGCACAGATCGGGTGCATTAGAGTAGGAATCTTCTTCTACTGGGATTTGAGAGAAATGGGAAAACATGGGGGTGGTTCCACCTCCCCTACACACAATCCAACCAACCTCTACATGAGCAAAGGGCCTGGCGAAAGTAGTCCAGTTTGGAATACTCCTCCCATGGAATAGAAAGGGGAACTGATGGGAATGAGGAGAGGGGTTTCTATAAGTGATGGAGGGATGGCTAAGACTGGAGACCCTTCATGGCAGCTGGAGTCACACACAGGCAAAGTGGCACAGTGGTTGAGGGCATGGAGTTCAGAAAAAACACAGAAGAGGCAATTCATGAGACGGAGAAAATGGAGGTGTCTGAGAACCAGAGGTCTCCTTGAGGTCAGAGCACATAAAGCAGAAGTTGGACTGTGGTTAGAGAAAAATACTAGAGTTTTTAAGATTTCAGAGGTGGCCCCATGCCAATGAGGACCACATTCAGATGTAGTTGGTAAAAATTGTGACTGAAAGAGGCACTACCTCCCCTGAGACAATGGGATGTGGAGTGGGCAACTGTGGTCTCGCACTAAAGACCTCCAGGAAAACAAGGAAGCAGAGGGAGAGGAGAAAACAACTAGAACATAGGGGCCTCAAAGGAGGAGTCTCCTCCCTAACCGGGCTCTAGCCTAACCCTTGTCCCTGGTTCCAGACAATCTCCCAAAAGTCTGCTTACAGTTCCAGAGAAGTCAGTGCAGCAAAGTATGAATGATTCAGAGTAGAAACCAGAGCACAGGGCAAAGCTGCCTTGTTTGTATATAAAGGTTAGGGCAGAGAGAATCTGGGACTTGAGAGGGCGGTAAAAGACTAGGGTCACAGAAATGGAAGCTTCCAGGCTTCTCTGCCCTTGTTTCAGGGCAAGCCTTTGAAATGGGGGGTGGGGGGTTGGAGGGGAAGACAGCAATCACTGGCCTCTGCAAACCAAAGTTCTTTTTTTTTTCTTTCTTTCTTTCTTTCTTTCTTTTTTTTTTTTGAGCTGGAGTCTCACTCTATTGTCCAGGCTGGAGTGCAGTGGCACAATCTCAGCTCACTACAACCTCCGCTACCCAGGTTCAAATGATTCTCCTGCCTCGGCTTCCCTGGTAGCTGGGATTACAGATGTGCACTACCATGCCTGGCTAATTTTTGTATTTTTAGTAGAGACGAGGTTTCACCATGTTGGCCAGGCTGGTCTCGAACTCCTGACCTCAGGTGATCCACCCACCTCGGCCTCTCAAAGTGCTGGGATTATAGGCATGAGCCACCGTGCTGGCCAAACCAAAGTTCTTAAAGACTACAAAACAGAAGAAGTAGCAATCTGCTCAACTGATAATCTTTTATAATGGGGATGGGGGCTACATACCCCTCCAAAGATGTAGGCCTTGGGAAACACCTCCTTAATTATCAATAAGACAGTATATACTACCTGAATTTTGTTTAAGAAACCCTGACTATAATGTATTCCATTCCTTATTGTGAAGCTAGGAGGACAGAAGCCCCCACAGTGGGGAGATTGAGGCCCCTGGCAGCAGAAGAGGGTCAAGCCTGGCTTCAGATCAGGCCAGAGCCCTAGGGCTAACCCAAGGGCTCCCTGCTCACCAGGATGGGCCCCTCATCCCTGGCACAGAAATGGTGATTCTTTTCTGCTGTCCAGATTCAATCTGCTAAGATGGAAGTTTCCCCCTCCTGCTCTACCTCTAATCCCCTCATCCCACTCCTAGCCCCATCTTCTGTCCTGAAATCCCAGAACTATGAATAATCCTCAGAAAGCAGCAGTCTCCTGGCCATGCTATCCCTGTCCTACTGATGACTGTTCAGTAGCCTCCTACAGATACTTGCCTGGCATTCAAGGCTTTGTGCCAGTCAGCTACAAACCTCCCTCCCCACAACCTTTTGCTGCTTACAGGCTGACCTGCCTCCTACACTCCCAGCCTCACGCAGGAGATCATCTCTAGCTGCCCCCTCTGCTTCCAGTGCCCCTAAACTGGCAGCACTATCAGATCCTCTAAGTCCTGCCACCTTCTCACATCCCACCCCTTCTGGGAAGCCTTTCCAAAAACCGCTGCTCTGCATCCCGCTGCATACATTTGAGTCAGTCATTGGGCACTAAGTGTTCACGTCTTCTCCCATAATCTCTTCTTTACTCTCTCCTGGATGGAGTTTCCAGGAGGGACCCAGCACAGGGCACAGTGAATCCATATACTTGCTTAAGACTTGGACACTCTCCCAAGGGGTGGGAGGGAGGCAATTAACGCCCTCCCCCAATGAGACTAAGTCCAAAGCTGCTGTCAAACCTGCTGTATTTACACTTCCTCCAGGAAACCTTCCGAAACTCCCGGCTGGCAGCATGGAAGGAAGTGCAGCCTGTAAAGGAAATGTTGTGGGGGGCAAGGGGTTGGGACAGGGACAGGGAGGCAGAGGGATGGGGGAGGAAAGGAAAAGGAAGAGGGAGAAGAAGGGGGGGATGCTCTAAACTAGAACAAGGAGCATCCTCAAGAGAGGTCACTACTTAGTCCTATTATTTCATCCCTAGAGAAAGGTGCTAGCAAAGAGATGCCCAGAGAGGGGAGGTGACTTGGGGAACTTGCTTGGAGGTGGCCACTCAGGAAAATATTAAAAACAGCCACAAAGCCCGAGGTCTCTCTCTAGAACTCCCATCCTGGGACCCCACTAACTGTCCAAGGGGTTTGCTAAAGCTAAGACCCTCTTTCAGGGGCCCATTCACCAGAGACAGCCCCCTCTCAGCTCTGGAGACTTTGCCCTAGGGCTCACCAAGCCCAGAACAAACCTAAGTTAGCAAGACCTGTGTAGCCCCAAACAAAATCTCTCTGCCAATCATGCCTCTGCAAGAACCATCTACCTCTTTCAGAGCCCTGCTCCGTGAGGCAGAACACATAGGGTACAGGTTGCAAATTTCTCCAGACTTCACCACCCCACCGGCAGTCACATGGCTGAGCTCCCAGGTTCAGCCCCCAACAGCTGTGCTCGTTTTCACCCCTGTGCCTTTGCCCATACATTCTCCTGGAATGCCCTCTTTTGCCTCTCCTCCCACCCAAATCCCATCACCTCTGGAAGTCTCCTATTCGCTGGCTGTCGCCTCCCTTTCTGTGTCCCTGGGAAAGTCTGCTAGGCCCTCACAGATCTCCCCACCGGGAAGCTGGGACATTACCGGTTTAAGCCGCCTGTGACAGCGAATGCTCAGTCCCAGTCTCTACTTGGTTCCCCCAACCCCCCAGACCAGGAGCTCCCGGAGGCGGGGGAAAGGGATCGGTTCCCAAACACCTCACCTCCATCCTCGTGACCGACTCCAGCCAGCGCTGAAATGAGCCAAATTCCGGCGCCCCCAGCTCACCACCCAAAGCCCTGATGGAGCCCGCCTGGTGGCCTGGGCCAGCGCTCCCGTACCCCAGCAACCCTGGGGCGGCTGAGGTCTGCCATCCAAAGGTCGCCCGCCCCAGGGAGGTGAGGGAAGTCAACCCAGGTCCACCTGCAGGCGCTGGTTGAAAGGAAAGACCCGAAGGAGTCCACTGGCACCCCCTTCCAGTCGCCCCCATCCCCGGCCACGCGCGCCATCCCCAGAAGGTCGGTTTCCAGGGAACGCCAGGTGGGGCTGGGGGGGATGGAGGGCCCAAAGCTCAGGCTCCAGATCCAGGGTCTGACGTCACCCAAAGGCCCAGTTCCCTCTGCGGGAGTCACAGATGGGAACGGGGGTGCTTGGTGGGTTTGGGGGGCCTGGGTGCGCCCTGAGCGCTCTTCCCCAGCCCCAAACAGTAAAGGTCACCTCCACCCCCACCTCTTCAACAGTTCGGCCTGCTCCCTGAATCCAAAGGTGAAGTGTAGAGGGTACAAAGCTGCAGCCAGCGACCCCCACCCCTCTCGCCACGCGCCCAGCTTCCCTGCAAAGCTGTCCTCCCAGCCTTCATGCCCAGACTCACCTGCCGCGGCCGTTCGGCTGCCTAAAGGCCGCCGCGCTGCGCTGAGCTGCGCTGCACCAGAGCGATGCGGCGCGGAGCCGGCCGCAAGCCGCTCCCGGGCTGGAGGCGGGGAGCGCGCGCGCGCGCGCGCCCGGGGCCGTCTCCGCGCGCGCCCGCGCCGCCGCTGCCTGCAGCAGTCACTCTCGCGAGACTTCCGCTCTACTCCCAAGGCCGCTCCTCCTGAGCTCGCGAGAAGGACGACCCGGCCTCCCCAGCACCTTCCAGGAGCTGTCCGAGGTGCTAGTTCCCGGGCCCCGGCCGGATCAGGTGGTTGACGGACACCTCAGAGACAAGAGCATGGCGAGTAGGCAGAAGGAAGAGACCCAGAGATGGGAGCCTGGCACCAGCAGCCAGAGCCTCAGCTTCCATATCTGTAAACTGGGGAGAATAACCTCCCATGCCGATGCCAGGAGCCTCTGAGACGTGCCAGAAAGGAGTGAGAAAGAGCTGAGAGCAGGAGAGTGTGGTGACTGCAGAAGGTCCTTCAGATCTACAGGCGCAGGGGGAAAGCGAGAACAGAGGACGGAAGATCGGAGATGGTATTCAGAGAGGCAAGAACACAGATCCAAGGGAAGACAGACATAGGAGGACGAGAAAGAAGAGTTGCAAACAGAGACAGAGACACACGGAGAGAGAGATTGAAATGAGAGATCAAGGCCTGGAGGGAAAAAAGACATGGAAAGATAAGATAGGTAAGGGAGCATAATGAAGCAAGAAAGAGGCAAGAAATAGGGACAAATTACGCAAAGGAGCAGGGAGAGAAAGAGAGAGACAGAGAGACAGAGAGAGAGAGAGAGGCTTAGAAAGAGAGAGACTCAGAAAAAGGAATGAAAGAGACAGTGATGTGCAGAGATGAACACCGAGAGAGTAGAGGCCAGAGTAAATGTTTAAAAACCCAGAGCTTTGGAGGGTTGAGAGAGACCCACTTGGAGAGATGGGCTGGGAGTGAAGACAAGCTTTTATTGTGATTGATGTTTACATAGTAAACCTCCATGGGATCTCTACAGCCAGGGCCACTCTGTCCTGCCAGCCAATTGCTCCTTCCCCACCCCCAACCATACCTCCCACCCTCCACCCCCCACCCACAGCATCCTAGGCCTGGAAGGGAGCCTCAGTGGGTGGGAGACACTGCAGGGATTCTTTGCCTAGAATAAGGGCTCATTGTCTGGCTCCAGCCTGCCAGGATTGGTGCCTCACTCCCACAGCTGGCATGAAAAGGGGGTGGGAGTGAAAAAAGGCAGACAAGAACTAGTGTGGCAGAGGGGGAAAGGAGGGAGAGAGCCTCGGTGCCTGGGAAGGGCTGAGCAGGAAGCATAATCCCGTCACCAGACCAACCAGGAAGGAAGAGTCCTGGGCGAATCACTTGAGGTCGGAGTTCGAGACCCGCCTGGCCAACATGGTGAAACTTCATTTCTACTAAAAATACAGAAATAGCCAGGCATGGTGGCGTGCATCTCTAATCCCAGCTACTCAGGAGGCTGAGGCATGAGAATCGCTTGAACCCAAGAGGTGGAGGTTGCAGTGAGCCGAGATCATGCCACTGCACTCCAGCCTAGGCAACAGACCAAGACTTCCTCTCAAAAAATTAAATAAATAAAGTATTTAAAGGTGCTAGCTCAAACTGTGTGGCAGGCACTGGAGACATGTCTTTGTTGTAGTGGAGGGCAGGAGTGAGAGAGCCTGTGCCAAACCATGCAGTAACACATTTCAAGCTTCTTTGCAGATGTGGAGAATGTCACATCTGCTCATATGCCATTACTCAAAGCAAGTCACATGGGTAAGCCCCAAACTAATTCATGGGGGCCAGGGAGGTATGCTACCCATACAGGATGCCAGATAAGTCACATGGCAAATGGTGAGGACATTTAATCCCATTGCAGAGGAAGCAATACCTTCCTAACTGGGAGGAATACCTTCCTAACTGCTTCCTAACTGGGAGCAGGAACCCAATCAATCAATGTCGCACAGGGCCAGCTCCAGGCTGCTTATCTTTCCCTGCCTAGCTATACCTGAATGAGGCATGTCCATCCAAGAGTCTCTGGAGAATATTTATGTTACATGCCAGTAAACAAATGAAAAGAATAGAAGTATTTACTGAACTTTTAATGTCTGAGTGAGATGCTAAACTGCATGGCCATCCTAAGAAATAAGTGCTATTATCCCTATTCTATAGATGAGACAAGTGAAAATCAGAGAGGTAAAGTGATCTGCCCAAGGAAATTGAACAGATAGATCTAAGAAATAAAAGAACCACTATCTTTAGGCTGGATTTCCCCAGAGGCAGACACTGAGATAAGGATGTTCACACAAATAGTCCATTTGAGAGATGATTCCATGGAGCACTAGTAGGAGGCGGCGGGGGGGTGAAACAAAGAAATGAAGAAAATTGGCTGGGCGCGGTGGCTCATGCCTGTAATACCAACACTTTGGCAGGCCGAGGCAGGGGGATCACGAGGTCAGGAGATCAAGACCATCCTGGCTAACACGGTGAAACCCCGTCTCTACTAAAACTACAAAAAAATTAGCCAGGTGTGGTGGCGTGCACCTGTAGTCCCAGCTACTCAGGAGGCTGAGGTAGGAGAATGGCGTGAAGCCAGGAGGTGGAGCTTGCAGTGAGCCGAGATCACGCCACTGCACTCCAGCCTGGGCGACAGAGAGAGATTCCGTCTCAAAAAAAAAAAAAAGAAAAGAAATGAAGAAAAGCAGTATAGGGTGCAATAATTAGCAGGTTACCACTGTGGACAAATGGGATTTGATTGTATTGGGCATCTCTGGGAGAGTGAAGAAGACAATGTACTCATCCCACTGAAGGAGTGATGACACTAACGGTTTCTTCATTACATGAGAGCTGTTCCTGGCAACTCCAGCTTGCCAGTGTGCCTTTTGAGCAGAGAGCACCCTCAGGCAGAAAATCCCAGGGGCTTGCAGTAAAAAACACATCAGGAATGGCTAAGGGGGTATGAGAAGGGCACTATGTCGTGACAATCTACTACAGCCAGGACCTAAACCCATCAGCCTGGCTCCTGAGCGACATTATGTCACCTCCATGATAATCTTGTTAATCACGTTATTATCCATGCTGTTAGTCCTGTGGAAGTTTACAATATGGAGTATTCTTTCTTAAGAAAGAGCCTCCCCTGGCTGGGCGCAGTGACTCAGGCCTGTAATCCCAACACTTTGGGAGGCCAAGGCAGGTGGATCACCTGAGGTCAGGAGTTCAAGACCAGCCTGGCCAACATGGTGAAACCCCATATCTACTAAAGATACAAAAATTAGCTGGGCGTGGTGGCAGGCGCCTGTAATCCCAGCTACTTGGGAGACTGAAGCTGGGAAATCGCTTGAACCCGGGAAGCGGAGGTTGCAGTGAACCGAGATTGCGCCATTGCACTCCAGCCTGGGGGACAAGAGTGAGACTTTGTCTCAAAAAAAAAAAAAAAAAAAAAAGTTTTTTAAAGTAGCTGGACATGGTGGCACGCTCCTATAGTCTTGGTTACTTGGGAGGCTGAGGTGGAAGGACCACATTAAGCCTGAGATGTTGAGGCTACAGTAAGTCATGTTCTTACACCACTGCACTCCAGCCTGGGCAACAGAATGAGACCCTGTCTAAAAAAAAAAAAAGAAAAGAAAAAGAAAGAAAGAAGAGAAAGAAACTCCTGCTTCCCCCAGTCTCCCCTCTCATGCTCCTGGTTTTGCAAGATGCCACCTCCCTGACACTTAGCATGTATTCCTGATTGCACAGAACAAGCACACAGGGACACACATTCTTGCTACAGAGCCACAGAAATGTCAGATCAGCTCATCCAGCGGTGAGCAACTCTGAGGCTCAGAGAGCTCACCCTAGACCTTCCTGAACAGTGCTTCTCCTCCTTACACTGCTCCACACCTCCCTGTCCCTGTGTTTGTCCCTTCTCGCCCAAACAGACTGGAAGCTCCCCGAGACAATCCACAGACTGCAAGAAGATATTTGCAAATCATATATATGAAAAGAGACTTGTTTTGTATTTTATATGTAGAGATGGGTTTCAGCGTGTTAGCCAGGATGGTCTCGATCTCCTGACCCTCGTGATCCGCCCCCCTCCGCCTCCCAAGTGCTGGGATTACAGCATAGCCCCCACCACCGCC